GGGGGGGGAAAGGCAATACTTATTATCCTTCCCTGCTCTCTCCATCTCCCATATACATGTGAAAACAAACTAAATATCATCTTACATCATCTAATAAATATCAGCTTAATGAAAAAACCAAACAAAGAGCCAAGAAAATAGACTTCATTATTCACCAATCATTCAAGCTTTAGAATAGAATGTATCCCTTCTATGAGGCTTCAGTTTTTTCGTTCTTACTTTTAGCTTGTAGACGTAGAACTTCGGCTCTCTGCACATACTGAAGCGCCTTATCTCTTACGTCTAACGTGTTGTTATAGGATAAAGCCCTTTCCAGGGAGCTAGCAGCTTCAATATAAAAGAAAATAGCAGATTCTATGCTGCCTTTCTGGTCGCATGCTATCGCCTGGGTTGCAAAACGATACCCATCTTGGCAAAGTTCTTCGGCATCCGCCATCTTGTTTCCTCTTTGTTTGGGCGCATATGCGCATGCGTTCTATAATATACAGGAAGCCCAACACATGACACGTGTACCACATTCCGATATGAGGCGAAGGTAAAACGAAATTTGCGAAAACTTTGACAACTGTCAAAGATTATACGTTACACTTTTGCAGGAATAGTTGTGATGAAACTTGTTGCGCACAAAGTTTTTTGCAGAAGTAGAACTCCATTCAACGCGTCCGCCCAAGCGTTGTAAATGTAGGGAAGCACACGCCGTTGCGCGCAACTGTAGTTGCATCCGTGTGACTCTTTCTACTGCGTTTTGTGAAAGGGGTTGCAGATGTACACGCGGGTTGCAGACGTACACACCGGGTGCAAATTCCTGGTTTTGCGCAAAAGTTACACCTTTTTTGTGCTTTCTACGGCGTTCGGTTTTACCAGTAGAGGTGGACACACGTTGTCGTTTCGTGGTTTGGTTCAACTTTGCACAAATACATCGTATAAGTTGACAGTGACGGTTAGCCAATATATTCTCGTACGTACTGTACCCGCTGTGGCGACCTCGCAGCTGTTTGGACGAACTGCATCAATTAATGAGAAAAGAAGCAAATTATTAAAAATTGGAACTTTGCAAAGGTTTTTATTGCTTATCCGTCCATCACAATTAGGCCCCGTCCACACGTATCCGGAAATTTTTGTATCCGCAAATTATTTTTTGCGGATACGAAAATGTTTGCGTCCACACGCAGTGTATTCGAATCGTTTTCACCGTCCACACGTATCCGTTTTCGTAAAATTTGCGGATACGGACACAAAAATTTCCAGACACGTGTGGACGCAACCCGTATCCGCAAAAAAAATTGCGGGTACACAAATTTGCGGATACGTGTGGACGGGGCCTTAGACTGTTTCGTTCATAATATATATATTTTGTTTTACTTTACATTTTTTCCTTATCGTATTGAATCATACCATTAATAGACAGTATTGTCCTCGGAGTTGAATGACTTTGATTTTCATTGTTGAATTGATTTTATTTTCTATTTCTGATTGTAAGCACAGAGTGATTATCATAACCACGTGAAACAGATACCATTAGTTAGTGTTTAATAGTGCCAAAGGATAGTAAAAGAACACAATCAGTGGAATTAGGGTCTACTAATTTGTATTAGGCCCTGGCTAAACGAGGAAACATGCTTTCAGAAACATGTTTCCCTAAATGTTTCCTAAGGTTTTAAAACTGTCAGGAAACATCGGGAAACAATGTTTCCATGCGTCTTGGAAACATGAAATGTTTCTGCCGCACAGCAAAAACATTTTTTGCGTCTTGGAAGCAAAATTTGCTGCACGCAGCAATGTTTCGCATGTGGCTAAACTGGGAAACATCGAGGAATCGCCTCATGTAAGGGAATCCGGAATCCGGAATCCACGAAATTTTAGGCTTTTGAATCCGGAATCCAGCACTCTGGAATCCGGAATCCAGGCCTTGGAATCCGGAACCCAGTTCATAATGGAATCCGGAATCCACCCTTTTGGAATCCGGAATCCACTACTTTGAAATTCAAAGTATACACTCAAATGCTATCGCCTCGACTAGACTGAACCGATGTAACCCCTCCCCCACTGTGTAATATCTCCACCAAAAATATCTGTCATCGGATGCTGATTTAATTGATAGACGATTCTACTTATACTGGCAAGTATATCAAATATAATTTTCAGAGAAAGTATCTGAAAATTAACGATATGGAATCCGGAATCCGCAATACAAAAGTTTTGGAATCCGGGATCCAGACCCTTGGAATACGTAATCCAGAATCTCGGAATCCGGAATCCAGCGCTTGGAATCCGGAATCCATCATAAGTCCGGATTCCCTTACATGGGACGAGAGGAAACATGCGCGCGTTAAACATGTTTCCTCGTTTAGCCAGGGCCTTAGGCCCCGTCCACACTATGCCGGATAAATTTGAATCCGAATTTTTATTTATTCGGTTCCATTTCGAAAATTCGTTTTCGGTGAAGAATTGTTCCGGATTCGCCCGGACTATTGTGGACGGTAGGCCTAACCGAATAAATAAAAATTCGGATTCAAATTCATCCGTCATAGTGTGGACGTGGCCTTAGCCTAGTGTGTATTTCACTGGTTTATGAAAACCACTCTGATACATAGTTAGAAGACACCATGTCCATTATTTTCTTTTGTTTTAATTTGACTGTTAGTCCCTTATCATACAACTTTGATCACTGGCATTAGTAAAATCAAACTATGATACCCAGAATGACATATAATTTCCAATAAATTAAAATTTGTTCACTCATTCCGTTTAGTCTTGAGTCATTATATTGATAGCACTAAAAAGATCAATAGTTTGAATTATCATAATATTAACATATACCTAATGATATGAATTTAAATATTATTTCTATGTATTCATATTTGCAACAAAGAAAGGGTAAATAATTTTTTTTTAAATGATCCAGTTAAAACGTAAATCACACCAAACCATTTTTCATGATGCATGAGTACTATTTGTTGCTGAGATACACGACAAAACTGTTTGAGTTATTGAAAATTTTAGTAAAATTTATCTTTTTAACTTTAAATAAATTGAACCTTAATATTTAAGATTTAAATAATTAAAATTTTACAGTTTCCTGCAATTAAATTCCAATATTTCAGTGCAAACGCTAATTTGTGAAACAGTACTAATAAGTTTATATTGCACTACGTCATGGTCCAAAATAGCTCAAGTATGTCTATTCTTCAATTGCACGTTACGTCATCGCAGCCATGTTGGTATTATTTAACAAAAGATTTCTCATTAGCATCCTTTGTTAACGGTACCACAATGCATGGCCGCCATGCTTTTGTTTTTTAACTCTCTTGGGAATGCTTGAAACCCATCAATTGTTTCCTATTAGTGTTTCATCGGTGCTATTTAGTATTACATGTACATAGAGCTCTTGCTAGTTATGAATAACATATAGTACTGTTTCAAAGATATAGTGTTTGCACTATATTGTGGCACATGATACCTTAGCCTTTCTAATATTTGTCAATCAAAAATCAGGGGAAAATTGCTTTGACAGACCCCTGCTTACAAGTCAGGTCTGTTAATTTTTTTTAAAGAAATAATTAACTGTCATGATGTTGTTAAAAGAAAAAAATCTATGATTGACCATACTAATGAAACATTAAATATTAATTTCAATTGGCTAGCCAAGGTAACATACATCACATTGTATGACATTTAAGCCTGGTTTCACTTGCGACGAAGTCAGAGTCCGAAGCAGTTCATGCGTGACTGACTGCAAATGAAAAATGCTTGTCATAAGTGGAAGCACAAGCCAAGCAACAGGAAACCTTCCGATCCTTCTGATTCTGCTTCTACTTCACTTCTGTTTTGGTTTTCTGGTTTTCCCTTTGTTATAAGTTGATTCCTCAATAAAGATTATTTATTTATTCCGACTCTGATTTTGTTGCAAGTGAAAACTAGGCCTTAGTCATTGGTAGACATTAAGGCTTTTTGCTCGTCATCATTCTCCACTCTCTTGTAGGCCGAGTTGGTCACAACAAACATGACTATGGCAGCTAACAATACAAGGATGACGCCCAGGACATTGATGAGGATACCTTCAGGTACAAACTTGGAGTATGTTGCCCTTCAGGGAGAGAAGAAATGTTTATTAGTGACAGGTCATACAGCGGCCAATCAAATAAATCATTCCCATGTACCTTACAATGGTTCTCATGTACTTCACAACGGTTTCCATGTACCATTAATTTGACAATAACATTGGACTTGAAGCCCATAAATGATCTACTAGTCAGTGATAGTCAAATAAGTGGATAAAAGCAATTTTTAAAATTTGAATGAAAACGTGAGTTAACCACCATTGTTTGGATTTCCAAACTGGCACTTTTCGCTGCTAGTGGTCTATCACTAATAGACAACTAGTAGCTCATCCAATGAGAGTGCTGGATTTGTAATAGACAAATTACTAGTTGGTTAAGAAGGCTTATGCCTACTATATAACATGTCAGGATTTTAGTCTTGATTAGCAATCAATGTACAATAAAAACAGTCTGTCGTAATTACATGGTGGTTAAAGAATTATTATAATAATGATAATAAACTTTTGAGTTATACTAAGTCTTATATTAAACTCACAGCCTGTTTCCTGATTCTGTGACCTAACCGACTCCAGACGTTTGGAGTCGTTTGCCATTTTGGTTACTGCCAATAAAATTTACCACAGGCTAAGGGCAACCCATTGAGAGTGGTAAATATTCCCACGATTTAGGAGCCATTTTTCCATAGGAATATATTAAAATTATTGCTCAGGATCGAATGCACTCGGCTTGTGGTAATTGGCAGTAGCCAAAATGCCAAACAGGTGGAGTCAGTTAGGTCTCAAAACAAATATGAAATGGGCTGTTAAATATCACCTACTTGATGGAAAATAGAGCTTTTTCAGTCATTCCTAGAAGACATGTAGCAATAGCCATCATGAAAATCAACACACCAAAGAAGATGTGAATCTTGTGATATGATGCCCGTGGACCATCGGGTAACTTGGGGAACAAGAAACTTATAAAACCACCAGCAAGCTATCAAGGAAAAAGTTATAATAATAAGATAATATTTGAGTACTAATTGATTCAGTTATAATCAGTTAATATTTGAGTACTTAATTGATTTAGTTTAACCCTGATTGGTTGTAGGAAAGGTGGATAGCACTATTCCAAAAATAGTGGATAAGTTGATGCTGTTATCCAATAAATTTATCCACTGGGTAAGATTTATCGGCGGGATATAAATAGCCCTATTTACTATTCATACAAATGGGCCCAGGTTGATTCATTCATACTCAAAAGATAATCATTCATTTAATACTCATTCTCAGAAGCGGTGATCCAGGGGTGGTAAAAGGGATTWATGGTCATGCCCCTTTTGCTTAACATTTCTCAGGTATATTGTTACTGTATCATCGTATTCACCCCAGCATTCTAATTGGGCTGACTTGTTATAAATAATTGTTAATTTCATTCATTCATTTACTCACTCACTTATTCATTCATCCATTTATTCATCCATTTACATATTTGATCACTCCTTTATTCATTCATTTTTTCTGAGACATTCTTTAATTTTTTAATCATTCATTTCCTTATTCCATTCAAACACTCATTCATGAATCATTCACTGGTTCATTTAAATTCATTTACTCGTTTGTTCCCTTATTTGATCATTTCCTTCAATTACTCATTCTTTTATTCATTTTATCACTCACTCAATCATTGAGTGGCCTGTAGAGTAAACAGTATTTTGTACCTGAGTAGTGAACAAAAACATTGTAGAAATTCCAAGCCAGCTATGCAGTGAATACATATTAGGAATTTTGTTATGATTGTGAAAGTCAAAAGCTGCCTTCAGACCCAGAACAGCTATGGCGAATGCAACCAGCTGAAGACCAAAGTGAACCAATTTAACCACAAACTTGTTCTGGTATCGAAAGACACGATAAACAATCATGGCTGAAAATGAGAACACAATGCAATAATAAAATTAGAAAATAATTTATACTGGTAACTCAGTCTAACATTATTAGGTATTTTATGTTGTTCCATTTCAGGCCACATGTCACTCTCTTGAGAATAAGATTCTTCATTTGAGTTGTATTCGAATTCATATTTATGTGCCTAAAATTATTGTATTATATAACTGTTAAACAAACTAAGAAATGATACTCAAGGCAATGACATGTGGTCTGAATGAAATAAATTCATTACCGTCAAACCAGCTCATGCATTTAAGTTACTAATATCAAGGTTCAAGGATTCAATTCATTATTCGAAGTTCAATTTCCATCCTGCTTTAATGAAGCTTTAACTACATTTAATGGAACGAACAATTGCGAATTTGAATTCTGGGCTCAGATTAGTGTGACAGAGTCAAAAGACACTATTTTGGACAGTAATTATTTAG